AGATGTTTATTTCTCTCTGTCTCTCCCCCTCCCTTGTACTCTCTCTAAAAATCCATGGAAAATTATCCTTAGGTGAAGATTAACAAAACAAAACAAAAATAATTCAAATTTTAAAACTGCTAGAAAAAATATAGCAGGCCACATTTATGACTTTAGAACTAGGGAATAATTTTTTTAAACACAAAAGGCAAAGAAAACACAAGTTAAAAGAAAAGCTACAGAGCGGGATATCTGCAATAAAAATAAATGGCAAAGAATATCAAGAATATTTAAACTATTAACAACAACAAAAGGCAAATACCTAACAGAGCAATGGACAAAGGTTACAAATAGGCAAATCACAGAACAGAAACCCAATAAACATACAAAAACATGCTCAACCTCATCAAACTCATACTGCACTGAGTGTAAAATTAAAACAACTACTTGAGTTGAAGATGTCTTATAATGCAACAATTTCACATTTTGGTGTATATCCCATGGAAATTCTTATTCATGTACAAGGAAGATAGGTATTACAAGAACATTCATTGCAAAATGGATTGTAATAACAAAAAAACTGGAAACTATATGCCCAGAATATAGTTTCAGAATGAGTGAATAAATTGCAGTATATTTCTACATTAGACTACTAGAGTTAAAAATGAACAAATTAGTGGTACACATATCAACATTTATATTCTTAAAAACAAAGTTGAGTGAAAAAGCAACCTACAGATTTACCTCATTCCTATGAATTTTTAAAACTTGCAAAACAGCAAGTTTTATAGATACATATTCAGCCACAACATAAAAATATTAGGAAGAGTCCTAACTTTTTTTTCTCAGTGGTTAGAGCATTAGCCTGAGCACTGAAGGGTCCTGGGTTCGATTCCGGTCAAGGGCATGTACCTTGGTTGCAGGCTAGATCCCTGCTCCCATTCAGGGAACATGCAGGAGGCAACCAATCTCTCACATCGATGTTTCTCTCTGCTCTCCCCCTCTCTTCCACACTCTCTAAAAGTCAATGAAAAAAATATCTTTGAGTGAGGCTTAACAAATATCTATCTATCTATCTATCTATCTATGTATACACACACATATGTGTGTGTGTGTATGTGTGCGGGGGGTATATATATATAACATATATATATATATATATATATATATTAGAAAGAATGAGAATGATAAATATCACATTTATGAGAAGGGTTACCTCTGGGAAGGGAGAAGGGGAATGGGAATATGAAAGGGAACAGAGAGGTTCATCAACTCTATCCTATCTAATAATAGACAAACATGGTAATTGACCATACCTTCACTACGCCTCCCATTGGCTAATCAGCGTGATATGCAAATTAACAGCCAACAAAGATGGTGGTTAATTTGCATACGTAGGCTCCAAGCGGCGGAGGGAAGACTGAAGGCGAGCCGGAGCAGCTAAGACGGAAGACTGAAGGCGGCTCCGGCCGGAGCAGCGAAGACAGAAGACTGAAGGCGGCTCCGGCCGGAGCGAAGGCCTGGGTCCCGGGTGCCGGAGGAAAACCTGTGCTGGCAGCCAGGAGAAGGGAAGGCCTATTGCACGATCTCTTCGTGCAACAGGCCTCTAGTCTTTAATAATAGCCAGCCAGCCACATTGATAAAATATAATATTAAATTTCAACATTATGAGTACATGGGTGTTTGTTATTTTCTAGACCTCTATATATTTAAAATATTAACATAAACTTCTTTAAAAGGAAACATTTAAGAAAAATGAACTACAGTATTAACACAAATACATATCAAAAACAGATATATAGTATAATATTTACATATTATCCTATATAACGAAAGCCTCATATGCTAAGTGTCTGGTCATCTGGTTGGCCGTTCAACCAATCAAAGTGTAATATGCTAATGATATGCTAAGGTCGCTCAACCACTCACTATGACATGCACTGACCACAAAGGGCAGACAGTCGACCAGTCAACCAAGTCGCTATGACATGCACTGATCACCAGGGGGCAGACAGTGGGACATCCCCTGAGGGCTCCCAGACTGCAAGAGGGCGCAGGCCGAGCTGAGAGACACCCCCCACCCCTAGTATAGTATAAAACAAAAGTTTTTCATAGCTACATTCACATTGGTAATTGTATAGACTTTCATGGGAATGACACTCCAAATTCAGGATGATGGTTAACTCTGGGCAGGGAATAAGAGAAACAGGACTGGGGAAAGGTACATAGGAAGTTTCAGTCAAATCTAATATGATTTCTCTAAAAAGTCTAAAGCAAATATGGTTTACTAAAGCTTAGTACTGGATGATTTAAAAAACCTATTATTTACATATATGTACATATGTAAATAGCAAGAGCAGCAACAATAAATGAAGAAAATGATTAAGAAAGATAACATTTGAGCACTTATATAGTAGGTACTTTTCTAAGTGTCTGCATGTATATTAAAAACAACCCTAGGAGATGGATTCCTGCTCCAGAGTTTACAGCTTAATAACTATGTTATTGTTATATCATTCTCTATTCCTTTCAGTATGTTGGAAATCCAACATTTCTGTAAGTTGGAAAAATATTTTTAACCTATGACTACAAAGGAATGTATGTGCTCACACATACACACACATATATCTGTGTAGCTTAAGCTGGTTCTAAAGATGCTAAAAGAATCCTAGGAATGTCTTAAAAATAGCAACATCCCAACTACTCTAATTTACATGTTTGAGGTTTGGTTTTTTAAAAAAATACATTTTTATTGATTTCAGAGAGGAAGGGAGAGCAAGAGAGATAGAAACATAGATGAGAGAGAATCATTGGTTGGGTGCCTCCTGCACGACCCCCCACTGGGGATCGAGCCTGCAACCTGAGCATGTGCCTTTGACTGGAATCGAACCTGGGACCCTTCAGTCTGCAGATCGGCACTCTATCCACTAAGCCATACCGACCAGGGCAAGGTTTAGTATTTTTTAGATCATTTTTTCATAGTTAAACTTTGTTTTTTTAATTACCCTAAGATAATATATATTTGGAATCTTAGATAACTTATATGGGGAAGCATATGATGTAATTTGATCACCTTTTTCTCTCATTAGGGGCAAAATTAGGTTATTTTCAGGACTGAAAATTCATATTAAGAGTTTTTAATAAGTAATTCTGCTAAGAAATATAATACAATTTCAATTATTCATTCTTTCTGATCTCTTTGAGTTTATTTTTTAAAAGCCAGTAGCTAATATTTATACAATAAAAATATAATTTTGCATAGGACTATTTATACAACAAAATAAAAGGGGAATTGGCATTTTTATTCATCAAATATTTATGAGCTTTGACTATGTGCTAATCACACATTCCTTATTCCCAGTACCACCGTTACCTTTTTTGTTGTTGTTGTTGTTAATCCTCACCCGAGGATATTTTTCCATTGACTTTTAGAGAGTGGAAGGGAGTGGGAGAGACAGAAACATCGATGTGAGAGAGACATGTTGACTGGTTGCCTCCTGCATGTGTCCTGACTGAGACGGAGGATCAAGCCTAAAATCAAGGTACATACCCTTGACCAGACTCAAACCTGGGACCCTTCAGTACAAGGGCCCACACTCTATCCACTGAGCCAAACTGGCTAGGACTATTACCATTTCTTATGTCTCTTCTTCTCAATCTATACACCCACATTCTCAATGGTATTATCTACTAACCTACAGAATATTCATTAAAAATATGAAAGCAAAAGAATTTCTTGCTTTCAAAGAATTCACCATCTAGCAGGAGAAATAGACAAGTAAAATACATAAGTACTTTAAGAAAGACATTTAAAAGGTATTAGAGAAACATAAGGGTTGGTATAGATGAAAAGGTGGCTGGTGTACTTCCGAGAACAGGAAACCTGGAACATGATGAACAGGAGACAACTCTTTCAAGAAAACTCGTCTTAAAAGGAAGAAGAGAGGGTAATAGCTAGTGGCATAGTTCCAGAGAAGGTTTTAAGATGAGAGAGATAAATACTTAGCATCAACTCCTCTGAATTACTTTCCTTGTTCCACTTCTCTCCTAGGACCTAAATCCCAGGTGAGTGTGAGCAAGCTACTATACATTTCTAAGCCTCAAAGGAGACAGATGCTTAAGAACTTTATAGAGGGAACCTGAAAATGATCTCTAAAGTTTTTTCAAGATCTAAAATTCTAAGATTCTATTATTATGATTACCTAATCTCTTTAAACCAGTGGTTCTCAAACTGTGGGTCACGACCCCTTTGGGGGTCGAACAACCCTTTCACAGGGGTCGCCTAAGACCATCGGGAAACACATATATAATTACATATTGTTTTTGTGATTAATCACTATGCATTATGTTCAATTTGTAACAATGAAAATACATCCTGCATATCAGATATTTACATGAGGATTCATAACAGTAGCAAAATTACAGTTATGAAGTAGCAACGAAAATAATTTTATGGCTGGGGATCACCACAACATGAGGAACTGTATTAAAGGGTCGCGGCATTAGGAAGGTTGAGAACCACTGCTTTAAACTAAAAAGTAAATCACAAAATATTCAGTATGCAAAAGAGAAAACTGAGACCAATTAAGAGATGAACTGGTTTGTACAACTGCATTCTATTATTTTTGCAAAACTGTTAAAACAATTAATTCCTATTTTGAACATCAGTAAAATTTCTATAAAAAGACAGTACCTTTTTACCAGAGTTGGTAAAGTGCTTCTTCCCCTCAAACCTGCGGAGTTTTAAAGAATCAACAAGCAACTATTTTGTAATAACAGATGTAAATTGCTTAAAAGCCCATACCTTAAAGTGGTAAAAGTCTTATTTTAAAAGGAAGATGTTTATAGAAACATATGCATGACATTATTACAATATATTTATTCATTATCTTTCGCTTTAAAACTTTATATACAAATTGAAGGTTCATGAATTTTTTTTAAACCCCAGCTAAGATTAGCTCTTCATAGTAATATGCCTTCTTTTCACTATTACACAAAATTTAGAACAAGGTTTCCCTTACCTGATATGGACATGGAATGTGATATTCTCTGCAGCGTTCTTGTATCCATGTTGTTTCCCAGATGCCACGGTAAGCTTGCTCATAAAAATAGCATCCAATTACAACCAAGAGTGGTACCAGATAAAGAATGCTGAAAACACCAATCCGGATCATAAACTTCACCAATTTATCTTGGTTCTCCTTTTCTAATGGAATCTCAATTCGAACTCTGTTTAGGGATATAATGCCAGCTAAAAGGAGTGAAACCCCAACTACCACATATAGGCAGAGGGGTGCAAGAACAAAGTATCTCAATGCATCAACATCGTAGAGGCCAACAAAACACACGCCACTGATATTGTCACCTTCAATTTTATTCATCGCTAAAAGGATGATAGTTAGAGTTCCAGGGATGCCCCATGCACTGGCGTGAAACAGCAATGCTTTCTTCTCAATAGCTTCACTACCCCACTTTGGCACAGCTGCCAAGAACCATGTGATGGTAAGAATTACCCACCAAACGCTGCCAGCCATAGTAAAAAAATAAAGTACCATAAAAAGCATGGTACAAGCTTTATTATGAGATCCTTGCGTCACTGTGGAAGCCTTATACTGTGCAGGGCTAGATGCATTGCAGGCTACTCGGTCCTCAAGCAAAAACCCAATGAAGAAAATTAATGATACCATCATGTAGCAGACTGCATAAAATATAATAGGTCTTTCAGGATAACGAAATCTTGTGACATCAATCAAAAAAGTTAAAAAAGTAAACAACGTGGCAGAGAGGCAAATGATTGAGATCAATCCTATGAAATATCGAGCAAATGATAGTTCTTCTCTCCTAAAGTACATATTTGGACAAGGAGGTGAACAATCACGCACGTGCAAAAAAGAATAACCAAGATCAGGATCAATTTTCAACTCCCGGGGACACCAAAAACCATAGTCCCTCTGCACTGCCACTGGGGCTCCTTCAGTAGGATCTCCAGCTAAATTCAGATCCACAAGTCGAGGGTATGGCTCATCACAATCTGGGAACCTATAAAATACAAGATGAGAACCATTTTACTTATTGGGAAATCACTGCTACTTAACAATTTGGATTTCCAAAATTACCACCTGTGACCTTACTATTTATCCTTACGTACTTAGAGCACATTACAATAAGTAGAAATAAAGTAAACGGTAATATTTTCTGTTTGGTTCACAGAACTAGATTTTCCATAGTTGACCAAAAATGATAATGTTTCATACTTAATTTTGTCTTAGCTTTAAAAACAGTACTCTTGCCGGTTTCATGGGTTCGATTCCCAGTCAAGGGCATATACCTTGGTTGAAAGTTCCTTAGCCCCGGTAGGGGCTCGACCAGGAGGCAGCCAATCGATGTGTCTCTCTTGTGTCGATGTTTTTCTCTCTCTCTTGACCTTCTCCCTCCCTGTCTCTCTAGAATTCTTGGGTCAGGATTAAAACAACGACGAAAACAGTACTCTTTTTTAAAATAGTCATGCATAGCCATCCAAAAAAGGTGTATGCCCAGCCAGCATGGCTCAGTGGTTGAGTGTTACTGGTTGATTCCTGGTTAGAGCACATGACCAGGTTGCAGGCTCGATCCCCAGTGTGGGGCGTGCAGCGGGCAGCTGATCCATGACTCTCTCTCATCATTGATGTTTCTCTCTCTCTCTCCCTCTCCCTTCTTCTCTGAAATCAATAAAAAAAAAAATTTTAAGGTGTATATATAAACTATTTATTTAGAACAGTTTAGAGCATTGCAAAATATAAAATATATATAAAACAGGTAAAATAAATACATGTAAGTATATAGTTCCAACAGAATAGAAGCTAGAAGTTAGTTTGGTCTAACTACAGTATAGTCTTCAACTTACCCTATATTCACATAAGAACTTACTTAAACATAAGTTAAAAATATTCCCTAAATGCATGTTCCAAGGTATTTTGAGTTAGATTAACATTAAAAATCCTTATAAGTGGCTAATATACTAGTTTATATGCATCAAATAGTTTCCAAGGAACTATCACTTATATTGTTTGCCAAATGCATGCATAACCTTATGCTGTAGTGGATTAATCCTTTATTTTTTGATACAAGCCATTTTCTTCACAGGGGTTGGAATTAGAAAGCTAAAGTTTTTAGCGTTTTCCCCCCATTTTACAGTCATTCTCTGCTTATCATATTGTTTAATTAAAGGCCTTCTAAGGTCTCTAATGTCAACTATTTCCTTCCTACCATCCCTAATTTCTCTCCAATCCATTGCATTCTCTACTTCAGTTATTCTCAAACTTTAAAGTGCATGAGAAAACTTAAGATTCTTTTAAAATGTAAATTCTTGGTCCCCACCACCACAAATCATATTACAATATACTCTTGTTAGGGCCCAAGAAATCTGCATTTTAACAATTTTCCATATCCACAGACTTGAGAAAGTGCCATAGCCTCAGGACAGAGAAAATAGGGCAGACATACTTACATGACTATTAGTACCATCCTCATGAACTTCCTGCATCTTCAATTTTCTTGCCAGTAGCAGTTGCTAAGTCCTCAGACTCTCACTAACTAAATTTTTACTAGTTTATATGCATCAAATAGTTTCCAAGGAACTATCATTTATATTGTTTGCCAAATGCATGATAACCTTATGCTGTAGTGGATAATCTTTTATTTTTTGATACAAACCATTTTCTTCACAGGGCTTGGAATTATAAAGCCAAAAGACAGAAACTTACTGCATTCAGGCATTTATTGGAATCCTGAAGTATGCCAGGGGTTTAACATAAACAGACAAAAGAACAGGATCTCTATCCTTCAGTCTAAAAGGAGATACATACTGGTAAAGACAACAAAAAAGACAGCAGTGTGATACATGAAGCAATCAAAATCTATATAAAGTATAAAATGATGTAGAGAAGGATTAATTATTTCAGGAGAAGAGGTTATAAAAGACTTCACAGGGTAAGTCTCTTAACATAAAATTTTGAATCAGTATTTGCCAGTATTGGAAGTATGCCAAACAGTATTTTAGCAAGAAATGCAAGCAAAAGCATACAGATGTGAACAGGGTGTGTTTAGTACTACTGGAGCATGAAGTGTGCATGACTTGTGACAGGGATGAGATTGGAGAAGCAAGCATATTGCAGAAGTGTGTGTGTGTGTGTGTGTGTGTGTGTATAAAACTGATAAAATTTAAAACCATGCAAAGTAATACTATGTATTTTTATGGATGTATTTGTACATATCTAACTTCCAATTCAACACATACACACCCTTCACTCAAAACCAAACTCTTGATTTCCACTCCTTAGATTTCTCCATCTCCATAAATGATAATTTCATTCTAGCTGCCTAGGCCAAAAACTTTGGGGTCATCTTCTCTCTCATTTACACTTCAGAATCTACCAGCAAATCCTGTCATTCTACTTTGTGATATTCCAGAATCTGACCACTTCTCTTTTTCTCCACTGCTGCCCCCCAGTTTGACATCAGTGCCTCTTCCCTGAACTTCCAATTGATCTCCACTTCCATACAGCAGCCACTCCTGTGCTCATGATCATATTTCTTCTGTTCAAAATCCTCTAACAACTTCCCTTCTCACTCTGAGTCAAATTCAAATTCATATTAGAGCTACAAAACTACCCCCCCCAGTACTTTTCTGATCCTATTTAACCTTTCCATTCTCCCTCCCTCACTTAGCTCCAGCCCCTTTGATCTCTTTGTTCTCTGAATATGCCAAGCATTCTTCCACTTCAGAACCTCTGAACTTGCTCCTCTGTTTCTTCTGCCTAGACTATTCTTTCCTAGATATCTGTATTTGTTCTCCCACTTTACTTAGGTCCCTGTTCCAATGCCTCCTTATCAAAAAGGCCTTCCCCAATGCCTCCACAGAAAATAGAAAATACAATACTTCCCTGTATTGTATCACTATCACCTAACTCTATTCTTTTTTTAAATTTATCTTTACTGTTGAAAGTATTACAGATGTCCCATTTCCCCCCCACCCGTTTACCCCCTTCAACCTGTGCCCCACCCCCAGGCCTTCACCACCACATTATTGTCTATATCCATGGGTTATGCATATAATGCATATAAGTTCTTTGGTTAATCTGTTCTCACCCACCCAACCACCGTGTCTTCCCTCTGAGATTCATCAGTCTGTTCCATACTTCTATGTCTCTGATCTCTACTCTTAACAGCATTTGTTACCAGCTGACATTATCTATCTCCCACCACTAGAATTTTAGCTCCATAAGAACAGAGATGTTTTGTTTACTGTTCATCTTCAACATAGAATAGTGCCCACACACAGAGCACATCCACTTAATATTTGTTAAATTAATGATTATTGAATAAATATATTCATATAACCCTACCCCAAGAAATTAGAAAGATGACTAAGAGCAGTGTGGAAGATAGATAGAGCTGGGCAAAAATGGGGACAGAGATACCAGTTGAGCCAGAACTAAAACCATGTAAGGCAGTGAGAATGTGACAGCTATGAAATTAGTTAGATGGGATTTATAACTGATTAAATGTGGAAGTTAAGGTCAATAAAGTTGGAAGATACTTCCAGGCAATAAAAAAATGATCTAGGAATAAAGTAAATTTTGAACATGTTGAAACTGAGTTATCTGAGACAAATTCAGGCCAGCATTTCCAATGGCTTTGGATATGCAGATATTGAATTTGGTAGGAAGATAATCAAAGCTACAGATTTAGATTTAGTAGTCATCAGTATATGAATAAAAGTTTAAACCAGTAAGGTGATATTATCTGGGGGAAGCATGTAGAATCAAAGAGAATAGGAACAGAACTCTGAGAAGCACCAGTGTTTAATAGTCAGAAAGCAGTAAAGGATCCAATAAAGAAAATTGAAAGGATTGGTTTGAGATGTAACAGGCTACAACGGTTCACACATGATGGCCTAACTGGTTTTCAGGAGAGGACAGGTTGAGGTTAAGGGGAATAAGGGTCAAATAGAGAATAAAAGTGAAATGAGTTTGAAATGAATTATACAGATTTAGCTTAGGTGCTTAGGGGGATGAGCACAAATTTCCCTACTGACCAAAGACAAACAGCAAATAGAATTGCTATGGTTTGAATCATTAAATAATAGCACAGGTAATTTATAAAACATTGGTTGAATCAATCAGTTTGGGGATCTGAGCAAATATAGTGGAAGAAATAAATTAAAAATGCTAGCAAAAGTGTTATTTCAAGTGATGGACCACAAAGCTTAAGCTACGTAAGGAAATAATTAAGATCAAGAAGGGGTCTATTGGGAGAGTAAAAAAACACAAAAGTCTACTGGTGTCCATGAAGCGAAGATGGGTACAGTAGAAACAAAAATATGAGAGATGTGGAAGAATGAAGAGTTGTTATGAAAGACCAGCTTGCCAGGATTTAAGCTTTCAGAGTTAGGCAATCCCAAGCAATAGTGAGGACATAAAATAGATTTAATCTTATCAAAATAAAGACATAAAGATCATAATGAGATTTCTATACGTGTATATAAACTTTTAACATAAAAAGACCACTAAATATGAGAGTTAAATATAAGAAACAAAACAGGATTCTGGCCCAGTCAAAAAATTTACAAACTTCTGAAGAGGTAATCAATAAAATATATTTTAAAAAAAAAAAAAAAAAAGAAAGCAAAATGTCAGTGAATTGACTACAAGAAATTAATGTTTTATTTTTTAAATTTTCCATCTCTCAAATGAGAATAACACCACCTGCTTTTTACCTACCTCCAAGGACTACTGTCAGATGATAAACAAATTTAATTTTAAACATGAAGAAGACAATGTTCACTGTAGCATTGTTCATAATAGCAAAAACCTGAAAATAACCCAAATGACCATCCTTAGGAGATAGCTAAATAACTATAGGATATTAGTACAATTGGCCATTATATAGCAACTAAAGGGAATGAAACCAGACCTAAAGATATAAACATAGGTACATGTAAAAAAATTTAATGTTGCTTATGGATATGTATATATGTAGTAAGAGTATAAAAACAAACACAGGAATGATTAACAACAAATTTAACATGATTACTTCATCTCTGGGGAGGAAAGAAGGTAATGAAATCAAGGCAGGTACCAAGGAAGAATTTTCAATTTCATCTAAAAATTTTTTTTTCCTTAAAAAGAAAAAATCAGCCCAGCTGGTGTGGCTCAGTGATTGACCTATAAACCAGGAGGTCATGGTTTGATTCCCAGTCAGGACACATGCCCAGGTTGTGGGCTCGATCCCCAGTGTGGGGCATGCAGGAGGCAGCCAATCAATGATTCGCTCTCATGACTGATGTTTCTATCTCTCTCCCTCTCCCTTCCTCTCTGAAATAAAAAAATATATATATGTATATTTTTTTAAATTAAGACTAATATATATGTACTTAAAAAGTTTTTAAAAACTGATGAACAAGAAGACAAGTAATTTTTAAATATATTGCAACATAAGTAATGATCCATAAGAATATGATTTTCGCACCTACTGCATTCCATATCTTCAGGCCAAGGAACACCAAACATCTCCATAAGTTTTGAACATTCGCTGTAAGCCCGCTGACACAGTCTACGACAGGGAAGTGTGACACGTCCATATTCCATACAAATAGGAGCATAGAGTGCACAAAGAAATGGCCGGAAATCCCGAGAACAATCCAGATTCACCATAGGGTGGAATGGCTAGGAAAAAGTTAAAATTGAATCATTAGAGAAAGATTTCTATATAAATTAAAGTTTTCTATATACCATATTGCAATATTCAATTTTTTGTTTAAAAAATTCTGAAAGTTATTAAATTTTTTTAAGGAGGGTTTTTGTTTGTTTTGTTTTGTTTTGTTTTTAACAAACCATCTTAGCCCCACCCCTAGAGATTCTGATTTGGTTAAGTCTGAGATATATCCTAGAATCTATATGTATATTTTAATTGTTACTGGTGATATTAATGTAGAGACAAGCCTGAGAACCAATAATAACAATATGCTCCATTTTATAAAGAAAAAAAAATGTATGATAAATGCTCAAAAGATTACTTCTTGGGATGAGATTACAAGAAATTTTAATATTCTTCCTTTTATGTATTTCAATTTCTATATTTTCTTCAATTAACATGTATCAACAGGAGAGAAGACAAAAAGTAAAAAGGAAGGAGAGGGGAGGAAGAGAAGTAGTTAAACTAGTTGTTTTGAGGGAGAGAAGTAAGGGAGAGATCTCTCACCTTTTCTCATACTTTCTTGTTCTTTTTACATTAAAAATTAAAGATAAAACAAAAGAGAGTTCTTTTTTTTTTAAAAAGAGAGTTCTTTAAACTCTGAAATCACTTGATGTAAACAGAGCTAACTATAAGCTGATATTAAGAAAGCAAAAAGGAATAAATAGTGGCTCTAAACATAAAACCATATTAAATCATCATTATAACCACAGGAATAGATCAAATATCCCAGGAAGTGTACATCTGGTCTTTTTATTTTTTTAATATATATATTTTTTATTGATTTCAGAGAGGAAGGGAGAGGGGGAGAGAGAGAGAAACATCAATGATGAAAGACCATCAATGATGAGAGACAATCACTGATCGGCTACCTTCTGCACGCTCCACACTGGGGATCAGGACCCTTCAGTTCACAGGCCGCTGCTCTAGCCACTGAGCCTAACTAGCTAGGACACATCTGGGCTTTTGACAAGCAAATATTTTTTCACTTGTTTACATAATAGTTTCAGAGTCATTGTTGATTTTGAATTGATAACAAATATTCTCACTACCAGGCCTATTGAGTAAGAATCAATTTACTTCTACACTGATAAATATTAACAAGAGATCTCCTATACACAATACAATCAGAAAAGCAAGAGTCACTTAAAGAAACTGATGTCAAAGAAGTTAACTGTAGAACAGGAACAAGACAGGGATGTTGGCTTTCACTACTCTTATTCAACATAGTACTGGAAGTCCTAGCCACAATGATCAGACAAGAAGAAAAAATAAAAGGCATTCAAATTGGAAAGGAGGAAGTAAAACTCTCATTATTCGCAGATGATATTGTTCATAGAAAATCCTAAAGACTCTACCAAAAAACTAGTAGATTTAATAAATGAATTAGGCAATATAGCAGAATACAAAATTAACACCCAAAAATCGATGGCTTTTTTATACATCAATAATGAATTCTCAGAAAGGGAGCCTAAATAAACAACCCCATTTACCATTGAAAAAAAAAATTAAAACACTTAGGAATAAACTTAACCAAGGAGGTAAAAGTCTGTACTCGGCAAACTACAGGACATTGATAAAAGAGCTAGAGGAAAATATTAACATGTGGAAGAATATACCGCTTTCATGGATTGGTAAAATTAACATCATTTACTACCAAAAACAATCTATAGATTCAATGCAATCCCTATTAAACTACCAACGGCATGTTTCACAGATCTAGAACAAATACTCGAGACCCAAAAAAGACCCTGAATAGCCCAGCAATCTTGAAAAAGAACAACAAAGTTGGAGGAATCACAATACCAGATATCAAGTTATACTACAAAGCCACTGTAATCAAACAGCCTGGTACTGGCACAAGAACAGACATATACATCAATGGAGTAGAACAGAGACCCAAAAATCAACCCAAGCCATTATGCTCAATTAATATTTGACAAAGAAGGCAAGAACATACATTGGAGTCAAGACAGTCTCTTCAATAAATGGTGATGGGAAAATTGGACAGATACATGCAAAAAAATGAAACTAGATCACCAATTTACACCTTACACAAGAATACTAGTAAACTCAAAATGGATAAAGGACTTAAATGTAAGTCGTGAGACTATAAAAATCCTAAAAGAAACCATAGGCAGCAAAATCTCAGATATCTCTCATAGCAATATGTTTACAGATACATCTCCTAGGGCAGTGGTTGGCAAACTGCGGCCTCTTGAGTGTGGCTCTTCCACAAAATACCATGTGCGGGCACGCACGTACAGTGTGATTGAAACTTTGTGGCCACACTCAAGAGGCCAAAGAGCCGCATGTGGCTCGCGAGCCGCAGTTTGCCGACCACTGTCCTAGGGCAAAGGAAACTAAGGGAAAAAAAAGCAAATGGGACTACACCAAAATAAAAAGCTTCTGCACAGTAAAAGAAACCATCAACAAAATGAAAAGGGAGCCCACTGTATGGGAGAACATATTTACCAATGATACATCTGATAAAGGGTTAATATCCAAAATATATAAGGAACTCATACAATTTAACAAAAGGAAGACAAATGATCCAATTAAAAAATGGGCAAAGGAACTAAATAGACACTTATCCAAAGTGGACATACAGATGACCAAGAGACATATGAAAAAATGCTCAAAGTCACTGATCATCAGAGAGATGCAAATAAAAACAACAATGAGGTATCACTTCATACTTGTCAGAATGGCTATCATAAACAAATCAACAAATAACTAGTGCTGGTGAGGATATGAAGACCAGTACACTGCTAATGAGAATGCAGACTGGTGCAGCCATTATGGAAAATAGTATGGAGTTTCCTCAAAAAATGAAATATGGAACTTACATTTGACTCAGTGATCCCACATCTAGAAATATATCCTAAGAAATCTGAAACACCAATCAGAAAGAATGTGTGCACCCCTATGTTCTTAGCAGCGCAATTTACAATAGCTAAGATATGGAAATAGCCCAAGTAGATGAGTGGATTAAAAAGCTGTGGTACATTTATACCACAGAATACTATGCAGCAATAAAAAAGAAGGATCTTTTACCCTTTGAAACAGCATGGAGGGACCTGGAGAATATTATGCTAAGTGAAGTAAGCCAGTCAGAGAAAGACAAGTATCACATGATCTCACTTATATGTGGAATCTAATGAACAAAATAAACTGATGGACAAAACAGATCCAGAGACATAGAAGCATAGAACAAAGTGCAGAATCTCAGAGAGAAGGCGGGGGAGGGTGGGTGGGTGGGTGGGAAGAGATCAACCAAAGAATTTGTATGCATATATGCATAATCCATGGACACAGACAATAGGATGGTGAAGGCCTGGGGTGTGTGTGTGTGGGGGGAGCAGGGGCAGGCAAAAAGGGGTCAATGGGGGTAAAAAGGGGATATATATAATACTCTCAACAATAAAGATTTAATTAAAAAAGAAGTTAACTGGATAATGGATGTGATAACCAATATACCAGTATAACAATAAACTATTTGTGGCAATAAACTATATGTTACTATCACTTCCAGGTATGAAGTAGTAGTTTGTGTTAAACCAATGCATCCATCAAGAACAGATTTAGCCGGGCTGGCGTGGCTCAGTGGTTGAGCGTCGAGCTATGAATCAGGAGGTCATGGTTCGATTCCTAGTCAGGGCACATGCCTGGATTGCAGGCTTGATCCCCAGTGTGGGGTGTACAGGAAGCAACCAATCAATGATTCTCTCTCATCACTGATGTTTCCATCTCTCTCCCTCTCCCTTCCTCTCTGAAATCAATAAAAATATAAAAAGAATCTCTACTTCTTTCAGAGCAAACTTAAAAAAAGAAAAAAAAGAACAGCTTTAAAATCCAGGAAAAAAAAGGTTTAAAAAAATATTTTTAAAAATATTTTTAAAGCTATTGGGCCCTAGCAGGTTTGGCTCAGTGGATAGAGCGTCAGCCTGCGGACCTAAGCATCCCAGGTTTGATTCCGGTCAAGGGAACATATCTTGGTTGCAGGCTCCACTCCGGCCTGTGCAGGAGGCAACCAATCAATGTGCTTCTCTTACATCGATATTTCTGTCTTTCCCTCTCTTTTCCACTTTCTCTAAAAAATCAATGGAAAAATATTCTCAGGTGAGGACTAAAAAAAAAGCTATTAGAGAACTACTAAAGGAAAAGAACTAGAGAGACCAAGAATCAAGAGAGCAGGGAAGCATAGTGAGGTGGCCTGATTAGCGCAACCACATTTCCAAGGAGGCATTTGTTGAATCTGGACATAAGGCAAGAAGCTGAGAATCGCCCTAACTGGTTTGGCTCAGTGGATAGAGCATTGGCCTGCGGACTGAAAGGTTCCAGGTTCGATTCTGGTCAAGGGCATGTACCCTGGTTGCGGGCACATCCCCAGTAGGAGGTGTGCAGGAGGCAGCTGATCGATGTTTCTCTCTCATCGATGTTTCTGACTCTCTATCCCTCTCCTCTCCTCTCTGTAAAATAATTAATAAAATATATGAAAATAAAAAAGAAGCTGAGAATCAAATTTGCCTAGGCAGTGGTCGGCAAACTGCGGCTCGAGAGCCACATGTGGCTCTTTGGCCCCTTGAGTGTGGCCACGAAGTTTCAATCACACTGTACGTGTGCGCCCGCACGTGGTATTTTGTGGAAGAGCCACACTCAAGGGGCTGCAGTTTGCCGACCACTGGCCTAGGCTAATGCTAGAAAAATGAGAAACCATCAGAACTTTGGCGGTCTTGTGAGGCTATAGACAAAATTCACATGCAAAAGAATAAAGTTGGATCCTTGTGCTTTACACCATATATAAAAATTAATTCTAAATGCATCAAAGGCCTAAATATAAGAGCAAAATCTATGAAACTTTTAGAAGTTTCATGACCCTGGATTTAGCAATGGTTTCTTAGATAGGACACCAAAAGCACAAAAGAAAAATTAGATAAATTGGACTTCATCAAAATCAAATTCAAAATGA